CCCCCAGAGGTCCGGACCTCACCCACCTTCATGGCCTTCAGAAAAGCTGTCAAAACCTGGCTGTTCTGGCAGGCCTGGGGCTGTTGACCTTATTATGTAGGGTCCAGCCCCAATTTGAACGTATGCGTGTTGGAGAAATTTTAAATTTTTATTTCTATTTTTGGTTTGTTTTTCTTTTCTTGTCCTGTGTAAACCGCCCGGAGTCCTCCGGGATTGGGCGGCCTATAAATCTAATAAATTAAATTAAATTAAGGCACCTGAGGGTAGAACAAGAAGCAATGGGTGGAAACTAATCAAGGAGAGAAGCAACTCAGAACTGAGGAGAAATTTCCTGACATTTGGAACAATTAATCAGTGGAACAGTTTGACTCCAGAAGTTGTGAATGCTCCAACATTGGAAGTCTTTAAGAAGATGTTGGATAGTCATTTGTCTGAAACAGTGTTGGGTTTCCTGCCTAGGCAGGGGGTTGGACTAGAAGATCTCCAAGGTCCCTTCCAACTCTGCTATTCTATTGTATTGTATTATTTGCCTCTCCAAGTTAATCGAATTTAACATTTCATTTCCATCCATTATTCTGTTTTACTATCAATAACATATATCCTCAAATTTAATTTTGTAAAGTAAACATTTCACTTAGTTAATTATCCACATTTAATAGTATTGATCTATTGCCCTCACATCATATTAGCTATATACCATTGGCAATATTTACCATATTTCATTCTATTCTACCAATAAATCCTTTTCCTTCTTTCCTCCTTTCAACCATTTTCTCTTAGTCTCTCAGGAACTTCACTTCTCTTCTATTCTCTTCTGTCCACCCATTCGCCTAGTTTTTCCTTTTTCTTGTTTTTCCAATTTCCATATTTTTTCTTCCCCGTCAGATGAAAAGACTGTGTTGTAAACAGAAGAGAGGGGGTGTCGTATCCCTCCCCCTTGTCGAGAGAGGACTGTTCACTTTTAACACAGATGGGTTCTTTTACCCCTCTTTCAAACCAGTGTTTCTCTCTGTCCAGAACGTGGACATTCTTCCCCATTCAGTCAGAACCGAGGAAGCTTCTTAGATGAGAAGTGAAACATCTCCAAGAGAAAGAAAACCACACAGAAAGCTCAGTTGCCTTTTGGTGGGGGGAGGGGGGGTAAGGGGGGAAGCACCCTTGGGACAACCCTGATCTGGATAACTGAGACTCTCCAGAGGCATTGATTTGAACTATTGAAAATCCAATCTAAGTTGGTGCCTTCCCTCCTTCCCCCCGTTCCCTTTACACTATATCCCCTCTTTTTCCCTTCCTCTCTTCTTACTTTTACATGTTTTTTTTTCCTTTGTCTTTTATACTTTGATAAACTACCGTATTTTTTGGAGTATAAGATGCGCCTCACCCCACCCCCTAAGAGTGTGGAAATGTTGGTGCGTCTTATGCACAGAATACAGCCATCTTTGGCCTCCTGAAGCCTGCTCCTGCATCCCGTTTTTGAGAAAAATGGGCCGTTTTTCAAAAAAAAAAAATGGGGGCGTTTTTACCTTCCCCCAGCCCTGCTGAAGCCTGCAGATTGATATTGGGGAAGGCAAAAACTTTTTTTTTCTTACTTACCTCTTCGAAATCTTGGTGCGTCTTATACACCGGTGAATCTTACAGTCCGAAAAATACGGTAATTAGAAAGTTTTAATTGTGAAAGATCAAACCTAACCGGTACCTTCCCTCCCTGCCCCCAGGACGGAGTTTTTCGAGGGTTGCAAAGCAATAAACGCGGACACCATCGACGGGATTTGCGCCCGTTTCCCCAGCCTCTTGAACGAAGCGAAGCAGGAAGACAAATTCAAAGACCTCTACCGTTTCACGTTCCAGTTCGGCTTGGATTCCGACGAAGGCCAGAGGTCGCTCCACCGGGAAATAGCCATCGCCCTCTGGAAGCTGGTTTTCACGCAGAACAAGCCTCCCATCTTGGACCAGTGGTTACACTTCTTGACCGAGAACCCTTCGGGGATCAAGGGCATCTCGCGAGATACCTGGAACATGTTCCTTAATTTTACTCAGGTCATCGGGCCGGACCTCAGCAATTACAGCGAGGACGAGGCCTGGCCCAGTCTCTTCGACACTTTCGTGGAATGGGAAATGGAGCGGCGGAGGAAGGGGGAGGAAGAAGAGGGGGGTCCCACCCGCTTGGAGGATTTACAGACAGCGTCCCTGTGTACAGACCATCACGCGGCCTGACCGTTTCGACAGCGGCAATTGTTCCTCCCTTCCCCGTTCCCCCCTTCATGGCCCGTAAGCTCAGAACTCCTCTGGAATTTACAGACTTCTCCAGACTTTTTTTCTACTTTACACCTTTCTCTGCCTTGTATTTTGAAAGGGCTTTAAAATGCTGTATCCATATTTTAGGCACTTTCTTTCAAAAAATTGGGTTATTCCCCTTCCTTCTCTCCTTGAAATGTTTAATTCTTCCCTTCCCTTCCCTCCGGTTGAGAGTTAAATGATTTTTATTTCCAAATGGTTTTCAGGCTGGTATGCTTCTTTGCCACAGGTTACACAACTTTCAAAGGAAATTTATATATATATATGTATACAGTATACAGTATACNGTAAAATGAGGACCCGGATTGTTGTTGGGGGCGATATACTGACTCTGTAAACCGCTTAGAGAGGGCTGAAAGCCCTATGAAGCGGTATATAAGTCGAACTGCTATTGCTATAATTAACCAACGTGACACAAAAGGCCGTAAAACGGGGCAAAACTCACAGAATAAATTTCTCACTTAACAACATACATTTTGGGCTCAACGGTGGTCGTAAGATGAGGACTAACTGTACATATAATTACATATAAGGACCCAGATTGTTGGGGGCAAGATGCTGACTCTATAAACCTCTTAGAGAGGCCAGTATAGTAATAGTTATGGTTATAGTATAGTAATAGTATGGTAATAGTATAGTTATAGTATAATATAGTATGGTATAGCCTTTATTGTCCTTGTACGAAATAAATACAACAAAATTGGTTTTAGCCTCACTGCTGCAATTCATGGCAACAAATGCAAACAACAAATATTCAAAAGAATAACGCCAATGCAAGTAATTAGGGGAAAAAGAAAAACTAGTCATATTTTCCCACGGGTGCGTGAAGTGATTGTGGTTGTGTTTAAGAGTCTAAAGCATTGTGAAGCGGTATATAAGTCTAAGGGCTATTGCTATAAATGTGGAACACAGTGGTGGCGAGGGGTGAATGACAAGTGCCAAGAAAATGAGATAGAGTTCTGCTTCCCCACCAAAACATCGAGCCCCCGTCTTCTCCACAGATCAAATTACATTCCAGCAATGTTATGTAACCTCTAAGTTGGTCCAGGTTGGCTACCAAAACACTCTAATTCAGGGGTGTCCAACCTTGGCCCCGTTAAGACGTGTGGACTTCAACTCCCAGAATGCCTCAGCCAGCATGGACACCCCTGCTCTAACGCAACTCGGTCTCTGCTAACAAATGAACAAGTTATGATTGCAATAGTGTTGATGGTCCTTCAAATATAGCTGAACTTTTTTGCTGCCAGCCTCTTTAGACGTGGCTACTGGTTGTTGTTGCTGCTGTTGTTATTGTTATTGTTGAATGCATGCCATTGCTAGAATTTTTTTCCTCTTCTGCTTACTGAGTCCTTTTATTTTTGTTTCCACAGCCATCCAAAAGGCGCCGATTCCCTTGGGAGAAGAGTCGGCCTAAATGGTGCAATGCCTTCCTGGGCTTTGGAGGATATCGTGTAAGTCGTGTTTTGGGTTGTTTTTGGCACATTCAAGTAAGTCGGACTAGTCCGTCGTACGGGGATGGCTGCCTCCAGTTTTGGGCCAGGCTAGCTGTGGATGATGGAAGTCGGATGGGGAGCTGCAGAGGATGTCCATATCTTGCTATCGTTGGAAGAAATAGGAACTCTCGGAAATTAAAGTGAGCCCCTCTAACGTCAGTTTTTAATGTTCATCTCAATAACATAAAGACAGCTGATCCCTTTAGGTAACATCATCAGAGTGCTCTGATGATGTTACCTAGTTGGGTAATGAAATGTCTCTAAGAAAACAACAAAGCTTGGTGTTGTGGGCCACCAGCAGAGCTGGCCGCAGATTCGGACAGTGAGAAAGTTGCGGAGGAAGATGGGCCAGTCCTGGAGTCTGAGGAAGGCAGAGAGGGGGCCAGGGCCGTATGCCGGTTATCAGCTGCCTTCGGAGTCAGGCATCAGTGAGGCAGAAGAACAGCTGGAGCATGTTCCCAGTGTGCGCATGCGCAGAGTTGCCAGACGAAGGGAACAGCTAAAGAACAGGGGTCAACTTGGGAGTAAGGCCACAGGTGGACAATGAGTGGCCCCTTCCAGAGGGAATAAAAGAGGAGCGAAAGGGGAGTGGAGTTTGCAGGAGACCATTAGTTCACTTCATTGGTTCGTGACTCTCCGAGACTCCTTGCCATGTTTTGCAGAGAACAGCCTGTCAGCTCTCCAAGCCAGATAAGGTCTGTGACCGTAAATCCTCCCTTGAAAGACTTTGCTGGAGGTGAATGAGCAGAATTCACAGTCAATTAATAAAAGGGGGTTTTGTCCAGACAAGGAGTTTGCCTCTGGCTCTTGGGAAGCCTCGCTCAGAACAAGAATTCCCCAACTCCATGCTGGACGTCCACATGTCTTCAGGTTCCCAAAGTTGAGAAACACAACTTTTGAGGATAGAATCCTCCCTAACATTATTCCCATAACTATACTCAGCTCTGTGGTTCTGTGGGCGTGGCTTGTTTGGTGGGTGTGGCTGGTTGGTCATGTGACTGGGTGGGCATGGCCAACTTAATGTCACTCACGTCAAGAGGCGC